TGTTCCCTGGCTCCTGTGTCCTTGTGTGTGAGAAGAGTTGCTTTCCTTGCCTTGCTTGGCCTTAATTTGAAGATAACTGATGGAGAAAATGGTGACACCCCTCCTCGCTTGATTATTTCTTTGCTTTCAATAATGAACCATCAGGGCTGTGTGTGCTGAGGATTGATGAGCCCGATGTTCCTGGTGTGTCTCCTGAGGTAATGTGGCATTCTGGACCTAAAGGTGGGGTTTACAATAGAATGGTTTCCAGAGATCCAGAAACTCACGGTCTCTCACTGACAGTGCATCTTTCCCCCAGAAGCCAGGATTCGGGGAGACTCTCTCTCTGTGGTGGGCACCTCCAAGTCTGCACTTTGAGCAGTGTGGCCGAGGGTAATGCTCCAAGGCCGTCTACATACCATCCGGGTTTCCAGGAGATTCTATGCAGTTTCTACTGCTACACCTCAAGAGAGGAGCTTGGTTGCTCTGGAAAAGATGAGGTCTGTGTGTGTCTAGTGGCAGGGACGGGATGGATCACCAAAGCCCCTTTGCTGCGGCACAGTCCTATCTTTCAGGTTTGCGGATAGTGATACTCTGGCCCCTGTGCTGTAATCAACAATTCCCCCATCTCGATCTGTCCTCCACCAGCCACAAGGGGGCGTACATCTAGGAGAACTGCACCCTGCAACCCCAGTTCTAACTCTACTCAGGATCCCCACAAGGCCCATTCTCTAAGCCACAGTGGTTGGGCAATAATATCTAGGTTCTCAAGCATGGAGTTGGGGTCACCCTTGCGCAACAACTGGTTATCTCCCTGGCTTAGGCGGTCCCAGTCGCCAAATTCTTGGTAGAGTGGAACCTATCCATTGCTTCCTTGCTCCCTGTACTACAGGAAAGCCTAGCTCTTAGAGAAGGGGAAAGTACAGCAAGAATGAACTCTAGAGCTGAGTTGAAGCCAATGAAAGCAGGTGAGATGCAAGATCAAGTCACCCTCCCTTCCCAGTAGCCAAGAGCCTCCTCAGAGATTCTCCTCTGGTTTGGACTGTGATTGGTGGCAGTGGGCGCAACCCCTAACACTTTCAGCAAACTCGGAGGGCGCTGCGCCCAAGCGCCTCGCTTGCCACTAGGCGCCGCTGCGCACACGTGGATCGGCACTCTGGGTCTCCTCGCTGGCTCCGCGAGAGAACTCTGGGGAGGATGCCAGAAAGGGATTTACCGTGATAATTTTAAAAAATGTTTTTAAGGTCTTAATTCTCCTTTTTGTTTTCCCACAGCCGTCCTAGCTTTCAGAGGTGGAAGAGACCGGGATAATAGTTATAGACCTGGAGAAACTTTGTAACCAGCCCTAGTTTGGTCCTTCTCAGGACACCTTACACAAGCCTGGGCCACTGGTGAACAGTGTTGTTCACCACGCTGGGGCACTACAGGGTCCAAACACCAACACAGCACTAAGGAAAATGTAAAGAATGCCGAAAGCGAGCCAAGCTCACCTACCCAACGACCTGTAAGATACTGGTTCTGCCTTTGGTGATAACCACATCCCAGGAACCCCAACTCGCTAGAGCTGCATGATGTTAGCCACCCACCCCAGATATTTCTGGAGCCTAGCACTCACGCAGGTAGAGTTGAGGGCTCAGCTTCTCTGCTAGTAGAGGCCCTACAGGAAACTCAGAGTCGCAAAGGGTTATCACAGATCCCCAGAAATCTTTGCCCTTTGATACAGAGTCAAAAATCAGGCTGTTCTCATCCCCAGCACCTCCTGGAAGAAGTTCATGGCCTTTCAGGGCAACATAGGGGAGCATGCCAGGGGTGAGGTTAGTGTGAATGTCTTTGTACAACTTTATTGTTCAAACTGTGAGGCCCTGGCTGGGTCCAGAAAATGACAACAACATCCATGAGAGGAGTCGATTTTCTATTAATGTTCATTATGGGCTCAACACTGTCCGAACAGTTTGCTTTGCCTGTCTCTCGCAATAATCCAAAAATGCTATTGCACTGCTATTTATTCCCATTGGGAGGAAGAGGGGGAAAAAAGGCAAAGACAGTAAATAGCTTACCGAAGGTGACACAAAGAAGCTGTGAGTGCAGTCGGGGGAAGTTTTATTAGGTATAATTATGAATAGAAAAATTCACTTTGTACTGTACAGTTTGAAGACGGGTTGTGTAATTACCTTCATTCTGATAAAGAACACTTTGATCATGCTACCATCCAGAAACTCACCCCGCACTGTACTGTCTGCTTCCTAGACACAAGGGTTGTATTTTACATAAAACAGAATGAGGGCAGGGGAGACTGAGGGGTTGACCCAGGTCGTTCAGTAAGAGACAAATACAAGATCTTGATCACATGTGTCTTCTAGTCCTCTGCCTGCAAAATCTATGATGTTCAAATCTCAGTGACTTGGGGTAACCCCAACAGTTTGTACAGGTACTTAGCTAAACAGCTCCTTCTTGGGTCCTCAGTAAACAAAGAAGGTGCGAATTCTGCTAGGCCAGAAGTCAGCGGTGTCTCCCTCTAGGAGCTCTGATTTCCAAGACGGACTTGAAGCCCAGAGCCCCGGTGTGCCTCTGCTGGGCAGTGTGGTTAATGAGTTACTCTCTAGTTAATTCCGCCACACGTCCAGGGCACCTCGGGCTGGAGGCATGAATTAGCATAGATTACTGGGCTTGTAGGGCTTCTGCACCCTGCCCGACTCACAGGAACCTGCTTTTCTTCTTCCGTGGAGGTGGGCTGAAAGTGGCACAGAGCCCCCTAAGGTTCAGGTGCTTGAGACAGAGGTACTGATTTCGTTTAGAATCCAGGGACCATACCCGCTGCTCATGAGCACTGGCCACCTGCAGGCCACCCAGAGTCCACCTCCAGTGGCAATCCTAGTGGCAGATGAGCAGTTTGCAAGAGGCTGGTTGGTGTCTTGCTGAGGATAGATACCACGAAATCGCTGAAATGTCACTTCCTCAGGCAAGGGGACCCTTATCTGAAGCCAGTCGCTCATTCCCTTAGAACATTTCCCCAGCACATCCTGGCCAAAAGAGGTGAAGCATGAACAAGTACCAACTACATATGAAGCACTCAAGGCCAAACATTTTAAACCCATGCTACGGGGATCTCAATCAAATCTGCCAACCAGGCTTGGATTCCTTGGCCTTCAAAGTCAATAACTGTGATACCCTCAGCTAAATTCACAAATGCTAACTCAGGGGTAGGGTTGGGGTTGAGGCACCACACTTGGTTCCACAGAGTTTCAGGCCCATTTTGACGGCCCAGCCTCATCTTCTTGCCCTCCTCTAGAGGATATGCCGTGTGACAAATGGGTGTGTTTGCTCCTAGTTTCAGAAGCCCCCAGTTAACCCCCCAGTTCCTGTGACGCTTGCTTGGCTAGGCACACGCTAAGACTTCTGCCCTTCTCAGAGCTTCAGACTTCAGAGGCCTGAGCGCCTAGAGGCCTCTATTTCCACAGTCCAGATAAAACCTGGGAGAGATTTCTCAGCTGTATTTGGGGGAGATAGTTCAGCTGGGAGGACTGTGTGGCCTTCAATTCCCACCGTTTCCATAGCGCTGTATCTAATGCCTACAATATTTGGGTTTGACAAAAAAAAAAAAAAAAAAGATAAAGACACAAGGCCACCTAGAAAAGAAGGTGAAAATGGGCCAGGACCAAAGGACTGGTGGTTCGGGGTCTGAAGTCCAAGGCAATGGCTGATTTATACCATTGTGAGGGCAAAGCTGAGGCTCACTCCTGTCTGCAGGGTTAACCGTGAGTGTGTTTGCACAAGCTGGAATACTCTGGGGGGATTCGAAGTGAAGGAGCAGCAAAAGAAACTCCTGTGGTCTCCAAATTAATCTGTCTGGAGCCTCAACAACACCGGGAACTCTTTTTCTCAACTCCCACTCTACCTAGAGGTCCCTGAGCTTCAGCCTTCTCAGAGGAACACTACAAGAAACACTCAAAACCTAAACAACAGCAGATGAAAACCGGGAAACAAACGGGAGGGCTGGCAAGGAACCCATTATTGTCGGACTTCCTGGCGCGTCCTATGGCCCAGACCCTTGGTGGAATCAGATGGTTTTCACACTCCCTCCAGAGGACTTCACATCTCTCTTCTGCAGAGCTAGTTCTCCCGGGTCTCAGGCAACCTAGTCACCAAACACAGACATTTTATCCCTCTTAGGATAAATGGCTTCGACCTGGGAGTAATAGATTTAAAGGACGCCAGAAAAAAAAAATTTTATCATTAATTGTAAACGTGCAAAATACCTGCTGGTACTTCACTTTAGAAGAATGTAATTGGCAAAGGGTGGATGGGTGGGGGAGGCGGCTGATGAATAGATAATAGATCTTTAACCACCAATAAACAGAGAGCAGCGCCAGCAGGCTGGGGGATGTGATCATAATTATGCCACAGCGTGAGCCAATGGGGACCGGAGAAGTCGGCCCTAAAATCATCCCAAAACCGAAGGCGAGCTCGAAAATGCGGACAGGGCCTAGGACCGGAGACGAGATCCTAAGTGCCTAGTTGCGAAACCTAGGTTTGCAGAGCAACCCAGCCCCGGGACCACAGATGTCAGAATAAAAATAGGTACGGTACTGATAACAACAACAATGGTAACAATGTCAACACTTCTAACGACAACGGAACGAAAACACAATCACCACTTCAGCTTCTGACCTAGGACCCAAGACTCCTTTCCCAATTATCCCCACGTATCCCAGAAAGAACTGTTTTGGGGAAGGAGGTGAGTGCCCTCAGGACAGGAAAAGCAGGAACTCTAGGGTGAGAACTGGAAGTCCACTGCTACCGTACAAGCACAGCTGGCTTCTCAGGTTTCTACTTGCAAACGAACCAGCCGGGTCAAAGACTGCAAGCGCGTGGACCCTGAAACCTCGAGGCTATGCTTGGTTGGAGGGGTGGGAGGACCCCCCTCCTCGCGCCTAGGAAACCTCGGGAGTTTTGCTGGGGGTGGGGATTGGTGTGAATGAAACGGGTTAGCCCTAGTCCGCAATCAGTCCCCGCCCGCTTACCCTCGCCGGACTCCCGAAGCCATCTCAGTGACCTGGACGCCAGGCGGCAGGGGACAGCCTCAGTGGAGCTCAGGGCGTGAAGAAATCTGCGCGTCTGTCGGTGCTTCGGTCCTAGCAGCTTCGGCGCCGGCGCCGCAGGTTTAGGATCCAGGGGTCCGCAGCAAAGGCTGCGCGGGCCGAAGACTCTGCAGGGACCCGGGTGCCCCGGAGGGAGTGGTGTTAGTGCAGTTGGAGGCGGTGGCTGAGGGGGAGGAGGTGGGGAAAGAGGAGGAGGAGGAGAAGAACGAGGAAGAGGAGGAGAAGAGGGAAGCGGAGGAGGCGAAAGAGGAGGAGAGAAGCCGCAGCGGGCGCCGAGGGAGCGAGGAAGCTAGCCCGGAGCGACTGGCGAAGGCACCGAGAGGTCGGCAGCCGAGCGGGCGGCTGGAGGCACAGTTAGGGCAGCGGCGCCGACTCCGTTCCACTCTGGGCCGGGATCCAGGCCTCCGGGTTCCCAGGCGCTCGCCTCCCTCTGACGCACTTTAAAGAGTCTCCCCCCTTCCACCTCAGGGCGAGTAATAGCGACCAATCATCAAGCCATTTACCAGGCTTCGGAGGAAGCTGTTTATGTGATCCCCGCACTAATTAGGCTCATGAACTAACAAATCGTTTGCACTACCAGTGAAGAAGCGAACACTTCCATGGATTGTCCTTGGACTTAGGGCGCCCTGCCCGCCTTTTGCAAAGGAGAGAAAACTTTTTTTGCCTCCCCCGAGAACCCCCCTTCCCTGCCTCTAACTCCAATCTCCCCCCCACGCCATCTCGCTCAAAAAAATATTACCCCAATCCACGCCTGCAAATTCTTCTGGAAGGATTTTTTCCCCCCTCTCTCCAGGTTGGGCGCGTTTGGTGCAAGATTCTCGGGATCTTCGGTTTTGCCTCTCCTCCCCCTCCCC